GCAAAAGGCTTCTGTCACTCCACCCTCTGACCTGCCAGGAGGACCGCAAGGCAAGAAATACGCCTTTTCTCCAACAAGCAAGACACCGGCCGAATACCTGTGCACAGCAACACGTGGCTGCCTGGGACCAACACCTTTCCCTGCTGAAACCAGAGCACAGTTCCCTCGGGAAGAGCCATCGGCAGCGCAGATTGTCCCTCCCTTGCCCTGCACCGGGGCCCGGAGAACTGCCTCTTCCTCTGGCTGAGTGTGCAGCAGCCTGTGGCCGTCGACAGCGGCTGCCTGTAGCAGGCCAGAACCGCTGCTGCCCACAGGGGAACAGAAGGACTCGGACTAAAGCTCTCCAGGCTGCCCGTGTCCCACGCACAGTCGATGGCCTCGGCAGCCCAGACACAGGGTAAAGCCCACAGCTGAAGAGGGAACCCCAGTGGGTGTGTAGCAGCCTCTGCAACAACCGTTACTTGCCCAGCCCAGCCGGGCAGAGGAAGAGGCGGGAGAAAGGGGCCTGCGGGTCCCTGCGGAGGCACAACGGCTGCAGATTGTGCCGGGGCCGTTTCGCTCTTTCTCTCTGGCCGTTATGTCCCAGCGGCCAGCAGACAGGTCCGCGGGCACAGCGTGAGCCCTGCTGCTTGTGGAGCAATAGGCGCTAGAAAGCAGCGGTGAAGGACGAGGATGGCCAGTCAGGAGGGTGGCAGGAACAAGGCGAGCCTGAAGCATCAGCTGGGCAGGGCTGGCAACTAACCCTGTGTCGTGGTTTGGGCCCAGCTGGACGCTGAGCACCACACAACCGCTCACTCACAGCCCCCACCAGCAGGACAGGAGAAAACGGGAAGGGGCAGGGAGAAAACTCATGGGTTGAAACTCAATAATTTAATTTAAAAGACAAAACCACCACACACCCACCACACACTCGCCTTGTGTGGGGGAGCAAAACCTCATGGTGTGTGTGTGTGGGGGGAACCTGAGGTGGACATGGCAGGGGGGTCTGCGTGTGGGGGCACACGGTGGGGATGACCCACACCAGGGGGTCCTCCTGCGATAACCCGCAGCAGATCACTCACCTGGGACAACCCCAACAGATGATCCACTCCGGAGAACTGACCTGCCCCGGATAATCCACACCAGAGAACCCCCAGCACTGCCCCTCAAACAGCTGGCCTCTCACTCCAAATCAGGTCTGGGGGGTTTTTTGGCTTTTCTCTACTACAAAAATTTGGGGGGGGTTTGCTTTTCCAAAATACCCCATTTTGGGTTTTTTTTTTCAGCACTTCTCTGTAACATCAAAATTGGCGATTTTTGGATTTGTGCATGAAAATGGTGGGGTTTCTGCTCTCCAGCTGCACAAATCCAGGCAGGTTTAACTTTCCCAGGAGCCCCAAACTGAAGGGTTTTTTCCCCCAAAAAATGAGTTTTTTTCCTCCCATTGCAGACCCACAATCAGGGTGCTTGGGGTATTTTTGTGCTGTGGCAGCGACACAGGGCAGGCCCCGGTGTCAGGGGGTTAACAGCCGGCAGGCATACCTGGCCCAGGGGAACCTGTCGAGCCTCAGGAGATGCCTACAACAAACATCTGAAACACAAAACCCCAAATCCTGTTCCGACATATTGGAAAAATATGTGTCAGTATGGCAGTGGAGCTCGGGGAGGAAGGACTCTTGAGTGAAGAGGTCAGCTCCACAGACAACACACCCTGGCAAGGCCGGAGCGATCTCCCCAAGTCACCCACAAGGCCGAGCGATACGACCCTGAGCACACCCTGCCCATAAAAGCAAACACTCTTGCTGCTGTTGCAATGTCTCATCCCGTCCTTACAGCAGGGCTGCAGGGAAGGAGCCCTGAGAGGTGCAGGATGAGGCCGCACTGCCACCAGAAGCTACGGCTGATGGATCTGCCGCAACAGCCATGGCCCTTGTGCTGCTGCTGCACATCCTGCTGCTGGGTCAGTGATGTCAGGAGTGAAGTGTAAAACTTTAAAGAGTAAAACAAAAAGTAAAGAGCAAAGCTCAGTCCTTTGCTCTTTAGTATAAAGGTGGGCATATGCATATAGCAGTGTTTTTATTAGGTTTGTAAGTATTTGATTTTCCTTTCACATTCCCTGAACTCGCAGAGCTGTGAGCTGATGCCATCAGACTGTCTGTCTCCAAAATACACTTACCACCTGATGAGAGGTTTGGCGTGTTCCAGAATGAGGAGGGACGTCTGGCCAGCTGCACCACCCAAGAGAGACGCTGCTGAGCTGCCAGCAGACCCCCCTGCCCGCTGGAGGGGCTCCAGCCCTCAGGTGCCCCCACCCTGTGCCCGGCACCACCCATGGGCTGGGGGGGGGCAGCAGCGGCCGCGCCTGGTGGTGCCACCAGGAACGTCTCCTCCGGTCTCTGCATCCTTGTCTACACCCTGTGAGCACTCAGCCACAGAAAGGCTTTTGTTTTACGTTACCTACAGCTCCTCGCAGGCAGCACACTGCCACGCACACTGCAGTTCTCAGCAGAATCAAGCCAGATTCTTTTTGACACTTTGCCTCCCAGGAACCTTCTTTACCCAAGATGTTCCCAGGAGGCAGCTGCACTGTGTCTGTGGAATGTAATTAAGATGCACTTGCTGTGCATCTGTGGAGGTGGGCTGTAAGCACAGGAAAAAAAAAGTCTCACATTCGAAAGGTGAAATGACATTTCCTGCTACTAAGCATGACACATTTGTTAGTACATAAAATATATTTAATTAAAACCAAACCATCAAACACTAGATTGGTGAAGTTTCACACGCAGCGGAGATTTCATTTGTGTCCTGGCTGCAGCAGACATCTCTCTGCACAAGGTGAACAGAAGCCACTTTTGGAGACCAGTAAGTACTCTAGATGCTAACACTCTCAGAGCTCAAAATTCAAGCTCCCAACAGGCACACCAAAAGAATCTGGAGCAAAACAAAGTGCCATCTGGTCCCTTCAGCTTCAGGAAGTCACCGTGGCAGATGGTCAAACGTGCAGTCAGTTGGGTACAAGACCTTGAACTCGCATGACCAACAGTTACTGCAGTAAGGAAGATTTTATATCAAGAGGAAGCTGTTCACAGACTTCATGCATGGTCCCATGCAAGATTCTTTATGCTGTTCCTTTACTTTTAACTCCATTACAAGGGACTCCAAATCCTCTATTTCTGAAGGACTCATTCATTTGGGTTTCTTCTTCTCTGGTATTTCACCCGTGTCTCTTGCATAAAGTTTCTGAAGGCTGGTTCTTCATGACTCTCCTCAGTAACTGGGGAAACAAACCCACAGTTCAGCACTATTTCAGCACTTGCTCTACTGGTGTTGGTAAAGAAAGTGTTGTGGTTTGAACTCGGCCAGTAGCCAGTCAGCACATGGTCAGTCATTTACTCCCCACCTCACCCCATGAAGTAGGGAAGGGATAAAAAAAGATAAATTTGTAGGTTTAAATTAAAAAAAATTAGATTAGTAATAGTAACAAAACAACAGTAACAAAAGTAAGTCCAAACAGGTAATATACAATGCAGTTACTCAGCAGGTACACAGCGCACCCCAGCAGCGACCCTGACCACACCAAACATCCGACCAGGCTGATGGGGAAAATGGAAACGAGAGCACATCTCCTTCAGATACTGAGCATCACGACATCACGTGATGTGGAATACTCCAGTGACCGGCCCTCCAGCTGTGCTCCCTCTCAGCCCAAGGAAAGTTAACTATCCTGGCCAAAACCAGGACAGAAAGGTAGAGTCAGGCTAATCAGAGCAACACATAAAGTCTGTCTGATCTCTAACATCATTACAAGGCAAAAGAAATAAATGATCCTAAAAATCAATGGAACAGGGAAATTCTGAAGATTAAGTCTGTGAGCTATATAAAAGAAAAAAAAAAATTTAAATCATACACTGTGAGAACTTAGAAGATTGCTCCAAGACACAGGGAAAGAAAAGAGCGCCAGGGACAGAAACTGTAAGGCCAAAAAGATGATGAAACACACTGTTGTCACATCCCGCTCAGAGGAGGGAGACAAGTGACTCAGATTCATAAATCCCCAACAGACCAGACAGCAGTGAGACAAGTCTCAGAGTCCAGACATCTGTTAACTTCCCAGAATGTACTAATTGGATACATGATAATTGGCTGAGCATATAACGAGCTGTGGCAAGCAGTCCAGTGTGCCTTGTGTTGCTTAATGCAGCGAAGGGAAAGGGGGAAAGGGAAGGAGGGCGATGGAGGGGACAGAGGAACAGAGATCACTGCTCTGGGTTCCTGCCTCGACCCCGCCGCGAGGGTTCCAGGAGGCATCTGCCTTCTTCACTTCACCCCCTGAGCCCCTCTCCTCGCCCCCCTCAGTTTATACCCCCTCTCCTTGGGTCCGTCCCCATGGCCGACCCACACACCTACGGTCCCATGGGTGGGGAGGGGTCAGGTGTTCCATGGCCTGAGGTAATTAGCATGAGCTCGTTAGTCTCCGTTAGCATGTCAGGTGCTCACTTTACCACCCCTCCCTGGATGAGGAAGCCAAGGTCACTGCCCGGACAGACGCCCCTTGAGACCTGAGCAGGTGCCCCAGAGCAGAACCGTCCTGTCCCCACAGGGCTCCTGCCCTCCAGCTGCCTCCGGTGTTACTGGGGCAGCTGGTCAGCTCCGGCCTCCCCCCGCCCCGGGACTGGAGTTTCATTCCTTGGGAGTGTTTGAGACATTCTCAGCTCGGAGGCCTCCGCCCCCGCTGTCCTTCAGCTCTCGCTCAGGCTGTCTCTCAGGCCGTGTCTCCCCCAGGCCTGTTTCCTTCAGGACCTGTTTTTACAAGTCTCTCACAGCTGTGTTAATCAGGTCCTGAGGTCACTGCATGCTCCCAACACAGTAAGTTGTCTGGTTTACACATGTTACACACCTATTAAAGATAATTACTGGAATAGAAAATTTACAGTTGAACTTTCACAAAGGTTAAAGAGTGGTATCACTGGACTAAGCATTGCAGCTGGGCTTCTGCTACGGATTCAGACACCAGTATTTAGGTGACTGGATGTTTGCTTGTCTCCTAGGCTCTCATTAGAGTCAATCCTGTTAATAAGATACGTAAGGTTCTCCCCGACTAGACAGGCAGCTTTCAGACCAGATCAGATCCCTCATTCCCTCACCTTCATGGTCAATGTCATCGGTATCACTCTCCCTCTCTTCTTCTTCATCAAGAGTTCCTCGTGTTAGGATCAGCTCAGAGGGACTCATTGCAGAAGCATCAGCAGGCCCTTGAAGAGAAGAGGAATGGCTATACACAAAACCACAGGCTAACAAGCGCGTTAGCTCCTGCCTGGACGATTTCTATTTGCACATAAACACATCAGTTAATTCCTGCCCCAAAGGGACAGAAAGCTGTTCCTGGATTCTAAAGAGAGAGGACAGACTGCATCAGCACCATACTCAACCTCATATAAGGCAACAGTTAAACCACCAGCAGAGCCCTCTCATATTCTACTTTGACTGTTTTACCTTTTCTAGTCCTTCATTTCTAGTATATCCACTGCTTTTTCTACGCAGCAGGGTTCCTTCTGCTCATGTCTGACTGACACACAGAAGAGCCAAGTCTGAACCATCCCACAGGAACTAAAGCCCCACTCCTCTTTATTAACATGAAGCTGCTTTCATGTTTTTGCTGGGAAGACAGAAAAGCACTGTATGACTCCTCAAGGCAGACTCTTCAGACAACTTCTGCTGTAAACACAATCTTCCTAGTGAGATACCTGCAAGCGTGTTGCCCTGCATACACACGCTGCCCATGTCCTTCCACAAGTGTTCCAGCTGCTCTCTCTTTTCTTTGTTTTGAGCTTTCTCCTGTAGGTACAAAGTTACATGTGGATTCTGAGTACGTTTAGAACATCAATAGAAGAGCAATCTCACTCAATACCAGCAGTCTGACCCCCAGCCAGAAAGCTGAAGTCTGTAAACTGGTCTTACATTACAACTAAGGTTACACAGAACTTTTGGACCATCGTGGAAAACAACCTCCAGCACGACGGACTTCAATAACATTTTCAGTAGCATCAGGAAGCCAAACTCAGTGAAGTTGTGCCTGCAGAGAACGGTCCTGTGGACAGCCAGAACTCAATGTGGGCAGAACTACTGATTCTGGTACTGCAGTTCAGTCTTTGTTATTGCCCAAGTCAAAACAGTATGCTTGACTGGTGCAGAAAAATACAGTGACATTCTCAACAAATCACTTGGGGAAGTTATTTTTTAAAAAGAAGATAGAAAAATATTTCCCAATTACTTTCTCACAATTTGCCCAAATAATTAGCACTAAAAAAGTGAGCAACATCTGTTTTACAAAACATCTTTATTTTTGTGAAGATATGCTCCACCAAATCTAGGGAAGAAAACACATGGTGAGCCTCAGGATAGGATTTTTTCCACAAAGAGCATAAGTAGTAAATGAAATGTTAGACTCTCCCAACAGAGGCAATTGTGTGCATAAAAGTGACCCCAAGATACACTGTTCAGGTACACAACAGTTAAAAATACTTACCAGTGTTTTTCTCAGGCGCTCATATTCTGGACGATATTCTCTGGAAAGATAAATAAGAGTGCATTCAGTCTGAACACATGAATTATATTAAGTACAGATCATCTTGGAGCCTTGTTCCTAACCAAAAAAGTTTTCATAGAATCACAGCATGGTTTGGGCTGCAAGGGACCTTAAAGACTCTCCAGTGCCCCCCCCGCCCCGGGCAGGGCCACCTTCCACCAGCCCAGGTTGCCCAAAGTCCCATCCAACCTGGCCTTGAACCCTTCCAGGGAGGGGGCAGCCACAGCTTCTCTGGGCAGCCTGTGCCAGGGCCTCACCACCATTTCTTCCTTACATCCAACCTGAATCTCCCCTCTGTCAGTTTAAAACCATTCCCCTTTGTCCCATCACTGCAGCCTCTGATGACGAGTCCCTCCCCCTTTTCCTGCAGCCCCTTTAAGTGCTGGAAGGTGGCTCCAAGGTCTCCCTGGAGCCTTCTCTAGGCTTTTATGTGTGAGGAACACCTCAGAAAGACTAATGGTACTTTTTACCCAGATTTGAATTCTGAAACCAATGGATGCAAAATAAGTGAACATACTTCATTAAAACAGCAAACTTTTCTCACACTATCTTCTTGGAGAAGAAATTAAACCAGCTCGACTGAGACAGTCATTTCTCTGCTGTACCTAATCAGCACATCTATCACTTTCCTCTAGTCACCAACATGACTTTCTCTGTCAGTACTTGTGCCTCAATGGGATCTCGTACAGAAACTGTTCATAGATTTACAGACTAATGTACCACTATGGGACCTTCGAAATGTTTCTTTAATGAAGTAAGGATAAAGCGGATATGGATACCCAAAGAATCATGGAATGGTTTGAGCCATAAGAGAACTTCGAAGATCATCTGTTCTAACGTCCCCTTCCACAGGCAGGGACATCTTTCACCAGATCAGGTTGCTTGAAGCCCCGTCCAGCCTGACCTTGAACACTCCCAATGACGGAGCATCCACAGCTGCTCTGGGCAACCTGCTCCAGTGTCTCACCGCCCTCATCGTAAAAATTTCTCCCTTTTGTCCAATCTAACCCTACCCTCTTTCAGTTTAAAGCCATTGTCCCTTATCCTGTCACTACAGGCCTTGGCAGAAAGTCTCTCTCTGTCTTATAAGCCCCCTTTAAGTACAGAAAGGCTGCAGTAAGGTCTCCCTGAAGCCTTCTCTTCTCCAGGCTGAACAGCCCCAACTCTCTCAGCCTGTCTTCACAGCAGAGGTGTTCCAGCCCTCTGATTGTTTCTATGGCCTCCTGTGACCCCGCTCTAACAGGTCTGTGTCTTTCCTGTACCGTGGGCCAGAGCTGGACCCAGTGCTCCAGGTAGGGTACCACGAGAGCAGAGCAGAGGGTCAGAATCCCCGCCCCTTGACCTGCTGGCCAGGCTGCTTCTGATGCAGCCCAGCATACAAGAAACCTTTTAACTAGAGTTTCATTATGTAGGCAGTGTATCCCACAATAATTGTTAGGTTACGTGGTAAAACTCCTCAGCACCTCCAAAGAGCATAGAGACACATTTGGAAGGGGGAAGCACAAATAATACCCTGCCCAGATACTCCCAGGCCCACCACAGGAGCGCTGTCAAACCATCAAAGCCATTCTCGAGAAGCCCAGAGGAACACAGGGGCACGTGGCAGGCAGGGAATCCAACCAAGGGCTCAGAGGAAGGGACACCTACTCCAGCTGGCCCAGGAGAACCACGAGCCCTGTGGTCTGGGCATTAAACCCATCACCAGGGCTTGCTGGGAGCCCTCCAGGTAACCTTGTGGGCACAGAGGGGTGGCTGCCCAGGGCTGTGGGACACATTATGGGATGCAAGGAAAGAGCACTCACGGAAAGTGCAGGATTTATTAGAGGATGCTTAGGGGAGCAACCAAAGGTGAAAAAAATGAGGGATTTAGGAGATTTGGGGAGTAACAACTGTGGGAAATAGAGATTTAAAGGAATAAACGAGTCTATGCACATCTGCACGTAAGCAGAGTCTAGGCAGTATGCAGACCTGCAGGCACAGCCAGGCCAGACTAATCAGACCTGGGATCATGAAGCTGTAGCAGCTTCTCTCAGCTAACCAATCCAGCATCATACATTCTCCTCTAACAATAATCTATGTTCTGGTTTATGTATTTCCAAGTTACTGGATTTGCTTTCTAATATTATAGAGCAGCCTGGCAGTATTGCACAGGGAGGAATCCAGTAAGGAGCAAATTCTCAGAGAATTAATTTAATTTCAACTTCCTCATCTATTCAATCTGTCAAGCTGATCTGCTAACTTCCTGAGGACAATTCAAATCCTGATCATTGTACAGAATCAGAGGAAAAAAATACTTCAAAGATGTGCTGGCACAGACAACTTTTACTTTTCCACTGAACAGTTAGCACAAAAATTCACCACTGAACAGTTCCCTTTGACTGCTGCTTTTTATACTGACTCTTATACTTACGTTTATTAGAAACCCTAGACTACCTTGGCTGTGAGAACTGAATAGTCCTTCAAATCAAAGGAGTGGGCTCATAAATCAGTAATTTCAGCAAATATTCACTGAGTCAGGGACCAACAGTTATCACCTTACCTCTCATACTCATCTACAGCTTTAGAAAGCTGGACAAAAAAGTCATCCAGTCCTGTGCCAAGCACAGCAGAAACACCAACCACCTGGAAAAGAAAAACATATACCAGAACTGAAGAGTAACCAAACCAAGTTTTCAGGTAACTGATGGATGATCAGAGCTGAAAAGACTAAGCAGTATCTTAAAACCCAACAAAAAACAAACCACCAAACAAACACACACCTAAACAAAAAAAAAAAAGGGGGGGGGACACACTCTAATGATCCCCATTTAATCATTACAGTGGCATAAGAAACAAATTTTACCATGGGGCAGGTAGCAACAGTTAAAGAAAACCTGACTCCACCCATCCTTGTACCTTCAATCTCAATACACCACAAAAAACATAGTTAAGAAAATACAATGCCTAACCCTAATGAAAAAGATAGGGCAATTCAAAAGGAAGATCAAACCTTTCTACTGTCTACTTGGTTACTGTTAATAATCCAGGTTCTCATTCGAACCTAGGACTGTAAGTGATTGGTGTGACTGCTGCACTATGAGTGTACTAGAACCACAGAGCGAAGCAGCCCGCAGGAACTGACCTTCCATCTCTGAAGTTTTAACACTTTGCATTTAGCTGCAGCACATTTCAAAAGGCACCCAATCCAACCACAGAACAGCAAGAGATGGAGAACTGAATCAGTTCCTATGGCAATACATTCAAAATGCACATCTGCTTTCCAATTGCAACTTGTCTGTCATTACAGTTCTGGCTATTTGTTCTGCTTTTATTAAATCAATTATCTAAAAATATCTTTAATTAAGACTATTACTAGCCAGTACTTGTTGACCCTTAGGAATCTTACATCCTCTAATGAAAATTCTCCCTCTTTTTCATCAGCAAGACAGTCTTAACTACTCACTTTCAAATGTAAGACTTTTTCCAACACAGCCTTGCATTTTATCAATACACAGTAAATACACAGATAATCAAGCATTCCAAAGGATTTTAAGCATTACCCTGGGCACTGTGCCAATATACACTAATATTTATACTCTCATTGCACTTAAGTACGCTCTGCACATGTCCTGCTTCCCAACCTACTATTCTAAGAGGTTTGACATGCATACAAACAGTTGATTAGCAAATAAGGACCAGGAAATACTTTAATCCTGTAGATGGCACCACTACAATCTGTTCTGAAATACTGTGTATTGTTCCACATAGGGCACTTACTGTGTTTTTGCTAAATTATCACTATATTAATAGAATCACTAATTTTCATGCCCGTCTTGTAATATCTAAAAAGCAAATAGTCTACGGCTTCTTAAGTAAAAGCTGATGAAAAAACACATTTAGCTGAACTCTTTTAGCACACACCATGGGATCATTATCATCCTCCAGTGTATAGTGCTTTGAGAAAGCAAATGGATTTATCCTCTCAAAACCTGGTAAGTGGAAAAAAAACACTTTTTTTTGTGTCAGCAAACATACAGGATTTTTGATTCTTTCCCTTCTTCCTACACAGGAAATTGCCCAAGTGCACTTGACATTTTCAGACAAGAAGAATTATCTCAGATAGGAGACACTGCAACACAGAACAGCGACTCTTACCAGCCTATCTTCTCTTTCTTCTGGTGATTAATCACAACTTAGTATTAATGATTCGGGCTGCCAATCACTATGACAAGCAACTGGTTACTTTATGTTCAAACCAGCAAATCCTCAACCCCAATGCAAGGCTGGTCAACAGAGTGCAAAGCCCTTTTAGAGGAGGACAGAGTAGCTGAGGTTGGGAGATACCTCTGGAGATCATCTAGTCCAACCTCTCCTGCTCAAAAAGCAGGATTAACTAGTGCAATGGTTTTAAGCCCTGCCGGGACCCGAGACCACGCTGCTGTTGTCCCTCCCCCACCCTCAGCCGGTCAGGCTGGAAGTGAGGCACAAACCCCGGGTTAAAATAAGAAGAAATTTAATACAACAGTGTAATAAACAATCTGAACAACAACAGTAGCAATGATAACAACAACAAACAGCAATAACAGTAAACAAGACAATATACAGAGAAATACCACAATGGACACAGACAGCCCCGTGCTTCCCGCGACTAAAGCCACAAAGGAAAAAGTTCCCCCGCTCCTGCACCCGGACCTGACATCAGCATGGTATGAATAACCGGCTAGAGATCCCTTCCCCCTCTCTGCTAGGGAATCTTAACCCTATCCTAGCTGAACCAGGACAACTAGACCAGGTTCTTCAAGATCTTGTCTAAATATATTTTGAGTATCTCCAAAGATGGAGACTCCAGAAACTGTGGACTATCTGTTCCAGTGCTCAATCAGTAAAATTACAGAATTTTTTTTCCCCTCTTCTGTTTAAACCCAGTTCCCTGTATTTCACTTCGTGTCTACTGCCTCTTGTCCTTTCACTGGGCACCACCGAAAAGAGCTGCCTCCCTCTTCCTTACATCCTCCCAGCAGGCATTTACACACATCAGTAATATCCTCCTTGAGCTTTCTCTTCTCAAGGCTTTTATGAAAGGTAATAAAAAAAGGAAGATTCTTACCTTCAGTGAACTGTAAAATTCATCCAACACTAGACTCATAGAACGAGTCAGGTTACTGACATAGGATGTCTCCTGATTCAGGGCATCCTGGAAAGTCTCAAAGTCCTGCATCCATTCTACTGCAAAGCTGTGGTCAATTATGTCAGTCTGGAAGGAAAAGAGAAAATTTTCAGACGTAATAATGATGAATTCTTAGCCTTAGGCTGTTAAGTGGACAAATTAAAAAAAAAAAAAATCTATTTTAAACATTCTTTCAAAATATTCAGCCCTCATCTGAAGTCTTCCAAGCTCTGTTTTTATCAAGCCAACTACTTGAATAGAGGAAGAGAAGACAAACAACCCCTATCCCAGTTTTAAGAAAGCATGTTTAAGGAAACAATTGCAAGTTAAATGCTTCTGTGGTTTACCAGAAAGGGGCACCTAAAAATTGCATACTGTATAAGAAAGTTTAAGTTGTAAATATTGGATTGTGTGACTGAGGCCAGACAAGAACAGTGCTCACTGAAGGTCCCATCCTTCCTTGATTGGCTGGGGGTCAGGGGGGCAAGGGCACCATTTCCACATCCGGCAACAGCCTACAGAACCTTTATAAAAAGTGAGCTGTGCTCTGACCTGAAGTTATAATCTAACTCAGTGCAAGATGTTGAACACAAACAGGCGAGATGGTTTCATAATTTTACATGGATTTAGCACACAGTCTATTAAAGCGTTTTATAAACATCTCTTACCACATGTATATCCACTATTATCACAATATACAGGTGTTCAAAAATCTGATACATTTAATCTGCCAGCACCAACGGGAAGGAGGAAAATAGGTAAAGAAAGTGCTGCCTAGCATTAGTCAAGAGATTTAAGACCCTGAATCCACCAAGGGTCAAACCTGACTATTTAGAGTTAGCTTGATTAAATTCTATAAATATAATCAATTCCATGAATTACATTTTTTTTTCCTCTGAAAATCTTAACATTCCTTAAATGTATGTGTTTGTTACAGCACACATATAAGTTCCTTGGGACTTGTCCATTCTTATAAAGAGTCAACTTTAAAATGCTTGTCAAAAATTCTCTTGACTTTACTTTTTAACAAAAGCTAAACATCTGATCAAAACAAAGTTTAAAGTTATGAATCCCATGCCTTGGGCCTAACTTTCCTTACATATACTGATAAAGTCCCATTTATTTAAGTCTTTAAAAAATATTTTTTCTTAAGAGGGAATGATTTCTCTACCTTGTACCTTTTTTCTACTGAAAAAGCTTAACAGCTTGTTTTAAAATTACTCTCTAGAGTTAGAAAGAAAACAGTGTACAAAAACTTGCTAAGTAAGAAAGCAGATACCAGAGACACGCATGGTTTGGGTCCCTGGGAAGACACAGGCAGCTGGAGTACATCAGGCACTAGTCCTGTCCGGCTGGTGGGAGGTAACACTCCCGAAGAATGGGTTTTCTAGAGGGGGTGTAGGGGACAGACGTGTGCACACACAGAAAGCTTGTCATGCTGGGGAGCAACTCCTTGAACGCAAAGGATGTCTGTGGGGAAAGGGAAGAGTACTCACACCAAAAATCTAATGGGATTCTTTTAATACGTGAAATTGTTATGTTTAAATAGGTGGCTAGCTGTTAAGTTCAAAAGCATTGCTTTAAGGCTACAAGTACCTTACACAGCAGTGGAAGTGTACCCTTAGGCTGGGAAGTATCTGCTTTCTGGCAAATAGTGGCATATATTTAGTGTCACTGATCAGAACCAAGCACCTTTTGTTAAATTCTGCCTGCTACAACATATGGGAAACCTTCCTCAAAACAGGCAGGTGATACACAACTCCCACTGTGAGTCATCGGCCTGCTGCTGAGTAGAAATAATTAATGATTAACACAATTGTTCTGAGGAAGCAGGGGACATTCCGTAATGAACTTACCCTTCCTTACAGCCTAGGGTTAAGGTGAAAAACATGCTTGAAATTGTCAGTACCATCTCTAACTTCAATGTTTGGGTGTGACTGCCCATCCCTGATTCTTGTTGTGCACGTGTATACCAGATTAAACACCCCTCAGCCTGCAGCTCCCTCCCAGCCTCTCTTCTAGAAAATCTGTTACTGTAGTAAGACAAAGACACTACAGCAAAGCAAGCTAAACAGAATAATATTCCCCTAGGACATAGAAACCATAGCTTTAACTTACTTTGTTCATGACAACAATGAAAGGTAGCTTTGTCTTGTACAGGATACTGGCAGGGGTGGAAAACAAAACAAAAACCACAAAAAAATTAAAAATTAATTTAAATCTCACTAGAATGGAAAGCAAATCAAGCTTAAGGCAGACAAGACTTGTGCAAAACTGAATACATTTGACTTCAAAAGATAATCATTCTCCTCTGCATCAACTAGAAGGTAATTTCCACCCACATTCTGCTTAGCATAGTTGAACAAAATATCCCCCCAATATGTAAGCACATGCCTGTAAGATATAAAATGTCCTTCTACACACCCAGCTGGTTTTGATTACTATTTTCTATGACTCTCAGAATCCAGTTTTTAACTCTCTCTCTGCATTTTCTAATTATTTTGACTCAAACCTTAGGTTCTGAGGTATTATTTGTGAATTGAAGAAGGAATTCAAATAACATATATAAAGCAAAACTACCTTGAAACACGAGCTTAGATACTTGTTTCACTGTATATATTCTAGCATCTTTTTCTCAACACTCATGTCAGAAAATGCAGCATGTAATAAGACATGTTTTGCATACTCCTATCACAGTGACGTAGCTTTTGACCTTGGTACAAGGACTGATATGTTTTCTGAACTTTTTACCAACATTTACCATGAATTATGACAGCTCTAGATAAGCTGATCTTTATTTAGTCTGTGGTTTAACATGAAAGAAAACAGAGAAATCCACATACAAGGAGGAACACAATAAACCAAGAACTCCATACTATGCCAAGCTCCAAACAGATCTTGAAGAATCACCAGAAGTATCAGTAATATTAAAAAAATAGATTAAAATATTATCTGTTTACAAGAAGCAGCTTAAACTAGGCTATCTGGACACATCTTAGACAAATAATTTTATAAGCAACAGGCAGTGTGTTAGATCTGATGTAACTCGCCTTCATCACACTAAGGTACCATTTAATTCTTTCAGCGTGAGTTTCGGTCCAGTGACCTCCAGATGTCCATTGGCACCTAAATTATTTTGCTTATCCAATGGGGAAACCATCAAGACAGAGAATAACCAAAATAGCAGATTAAATGGTTATGAGCCATCAAAGTGGACTTGCAGCCCAGAAGGGTGATGTATGCTGGGTTGCATCAGAAGCAGCCTGGCCAGCAGGTCGAGGGGGGGGGATTCTAACCCTCTGCTCTGCTCTCGTGGTACCCTGCCTGGAGCACTGGGTCCAGCTCCAGCCCACGGTACAGGAAAGACACGGACCTGTTAGAGCGGGGTCACAGGAGGCCATAGAAACAATCAGAGGGCTGGAACACCTCTGCTGTGAAGACAGGCTGAGAGAGTTGGGGCTGTTCAGCCTGGAGAAGAGAAGGCTTCAGGGAGACCTTTGTGAGAGACGACTTGTAGAAAGAGGCCTGTGAGAGACACGGCCTGAGAAACAGCCTGAGCGAGAGCTGAAGGACAGCGGGGGTGGAGGCCTCCGAGCTGAGAATGTCTCAAACACTCCCAAGGAATGAAACTCCAGTCCCGGGGCGGGGGGAGGCCGGAGCTGACCAGCTGCCCCAGTAACACCGGAGGCAGCTGGAGGGCAGGAGCCCTGTGGGGACAGGACGGTTCTGCTCTGGGGCACCTGCTCAGGTCTCAAGGGGCGTCTGTCCGGGCAGTGACCTTGGCTTCCTCATCCAGGGAGGGGTGGTAAAGTGAGCACCTGACATGCTAACGGAGACTAACGAGCTCATGCTAATTACCTCAGGCCATGGAACACCTGACCCCTCCCCACCCATGGGACCGTAGGTGTGTGGGTCGGCCATGGGGACGGACCCAAGGAGAGGGGGTATAAACTGAGGGGGGCGAGGAGAGGGGCTCAGGGGGTGAAGTGAAGAAGGCAGATGCCTCCTGGAACCCTCGCGGCGGGGTCGAGGCAGGAACCCAGAGCAGTGATCTCTGTTCCTCTGTTCCCTCCATTGCCCTCCTTTCCTTTCCCCCCTTTCCCTTCGCTGCAATTAAGCAACACATGGCACACTGAACTGCTTGCCACAGCTCATTATATACTCAGTCAGTTGTCATGTATCCAGTTGTTATATTGTGGGAAGTTAACAGATGTCTGGACTTTGAGACTTGTCTCACTGCTGTCTGGTCCGTTGGGGATTTATGAATCTGAGTCACTTGTCTCCCTCCTCTGAGTGGGATGTGACGATCTTATTGTGGCCTTTCTGTATTCAAAGGGGGCTTATAAGACAGAGAGAGACTTTCTGCCAAGGCCTGTAGTGACAGGATAAGGGACAATGGCTTTAAACTGAAAGAGGGTAGGGTTAGATTGGACAAAAGGGAGGAATTTTTACGATGAGGGCGGTGAGACACTGGAGCAGGTTGCCCAGAGCACCTGTGGATGCTCCATCATTGGGAGTGTTCAAGGTCAGGCTGGACGGGGCTTCAAGCAACCTGATCTGGTGAAAGATATCCCTGCCTGTGGAAGGGGAGGTGGACTAGGTGGTCTTGAAAAGTCCGTTTCAAGCCAAACCATTCCATGATTCCCCTCCAAAGTAAGCATCAAAGAGGCACAGCAGTCAAAGCAGATGAACTGCATTTTCAACTTTTCTTACCTGCAGGCATACAACATGTTGGACATAAAGGTGATAGGGTTAGTACTGCGAGAGGTGTCCATCACATAAACAACCACCGAAGGGAAAGAGGAAGCCTAGAAACACAAAGTAAAAGATATTTTAATTAGAAGTATGTGCTGTTCAACAGCCATTTCATTCACACAGCCTCACACAGAAAACACTTACCAAGGCCTCAGTTATGATGGTTCCTGACGCTGACCAGGTGAACACCTCAATTTGCCCTGGTGTGTCAATAATAACATACCTGGTAAGAGGTCACCCCAGACAGACAATAAGGGAAAATCAGTTAAACACGAGGTCCTGTTCTGACTAGATTACCACAAGCATATAACGGCAAATCACGTGATTATTCTGTCACAGATCAGAAAAGCTTCTCTCAAACAGTGACAAGATTTGTGGGCATGCCTGAAAATTTCTTGTGCGAATTTTGTAACTAAGAAGCGCATATCGTGTTCAGATTCTATTAAAGCTGAAGACATCAATTTGACAGACATTTCTGCAAACCCTTCAGAAGAATTAACTGTTGCCTAATTGAACAGTGCATGAGAAAAAAATGACAGTATAATGGAAGACAAGAAAAGCAGAACTGGAATCAGCAGACATTTCTTCGATGTATCCAAAGAAAGTCTAGTTTATCTAATTCTACGCCCTTTTCCATACAAAATTTATACCAAGGCTGAAAAACAACTAGAAACATGCAGAGAACCTTTTTGGGATTTCAAATGATTTTCCAGCACTGACCCCAGAAAAGTAGAACTTGGTAGAATTTACTCACTTGGATGCATTTTGTCTTTTTTCAATAAACTTCATCACCTGATTGAAAAAGAAGGAATATACTTTGTAGTTAGGCTCACAACAGGAAACTTTCATAATCATTTCATAACAGACACTACATCATCTTGCACAGCTGCACGTATGCATCAACTGAAGATTAAAGCCTCTAAGCTTTTCAACGTGTGAAGATGCCCTACCAAGGAAGGGTGGAAAATGCTCAGACACTGCATAGGTCAAGGACAATTTTGATTCTGTTCGCGTTCAAGTACCTGGCTAAAGAAATGGCATAACAAATGCAGCTGTTCCTCCGCTTTTCACAAAGAGGTTGTGCACGGTCTCTCGCTTAAGTTCCACCCCAGCGTTGATTCAGCATTATGACTTAAGAGCAGTCCATCACCAAATAACCCTAGGAAAACTGAACTTGCTTCCAGAAGTGAGTTTCCCGGCTTCAAAATCACAGCATTCACGTGAAAGACCTTACAGCTAATGTAGTCATTAGACATCATAGAACAGGTACGTAGAGACTAAAGAACATTCTGTACACGTGGCTTTTAAATTTTACTTTTAAAAAAGCTGAAAAACTGAAATCTCTCAGATGAAAGCTAATGCATTTTGGCTGCTTTGTAAAGCACATGGCTCTGTACAAAAGAACACTAACTCCAAAGATGTGTTAGGGGGCTCACCAAATGCAGTGCTCTCTGAGACTCCAAACACACAAAAACCCCACAGCCCCCCAGCACAGTGTCACGTAGGAACAACCTCGTACCTGATCAAACCTTGTAGCAAAGAGATTGAGAGAGGTCACGATCCCACCATTTGGGCCCAGTCCGTATCTAGACACTTCATTTAGGAAAGCAGATGCTTATGCATGTTAGATATCCTGCAGCAAGAGACAGCACCCCTAATACACAATTAAGTAATTAAGCGATGCAGTAGCACAACAAACACGAAGTGGTCTCTCTCTTGCCCAAACACGTCTGACTGACAAAAGGAAAAGGGGCTGTAGCTTCCCCTTGCCATTATTCAAGCATTATCATTATGCTTGGACTAGATGATCTTCAAGGTCTTTTCCAACCTAGGTGATTCTGTTTATTCTGGACAAAGATAAAATATACGTACATGTATACTCAAAGCAATCGTTTTTTCAAAAACATTTACAACACAGTCCGTAACTTGGAATTTAACAATGTCCTGAATGCACCTAATTTTAAGCATTTATACTTCAAAAGGTAATTAATTACAAGATTTCTTGCACAAATGCATTTCAGCAGAATTTAAATGATAACAGGAATCAATACTGTAAAGATACTTGAAGCATCAGCTTGAAGATGAAGATTTCTAAATCCATTTTTATGCATAAAGATCTGTATGCAAATTATGTTCAAAGAAACAAAGATTTTTTTTTTTTTTTAAACTGCCTAAGAACCAGCACTGATTCATCCGTACATACTGCCTTACAGGGCCACTACGCGCAATATCCAAACATGAGGCCAGGGACCCTCCTCAAGCACTATTTAATGAGATGATTAAACTCCAGTAATGGCTAACAGACGCAGTAAAGCAAATAATGCACCTACATACCAAATGGAAACCTATACATGGACGTTTTGTTGGTAACTCCACACCAAACAAAAGACAAAATCAAGAATTCTATCCCCCACCATCTTTATTTCTGTCTAAAATACTAAATTTGTGAGTCACGCTAGCAAGTCAAAACCAAACACTGTTTATTATCTGCATTTGCATAAGCTATTGCTTAGGAGACAACAGACCTCCATACTCCTCTGGAAATGCAGTGCAATGTTACTGAACTACAGCCATCAAAATACTGTGCAGCAAGAGCCAACCCAATGTCTTTGAGATTCAGAAAGACAACAATGGTTTATGGTCAAATGACGTGGAAATTGTTCTTTTCTCCACCTACTACAGGAAAATAGGAATTTGCACATTTGTGTATAACAAAATTTGTTATGTAATTTTTATTACAGATAAATTATTTACATACATTTTTAAATATACATAATTTTTAAAACATAGGGGAAAGGCTGCTGGCTTCCACAAAAAAAATACAGAAGCTCTTCGAAAGAACAACAATTTTTAAAAAGTGCCTATCATTTGTAAAAACATACTCTTAGGCAGAATCACTTTTATCACGGGAAAAAATGACCTAGAGAGTATCAAATCTTGTAGAACATACGCTTCTAACCTCACATGCAAGAAACACATGACAAAAACTTCTGATCTACAGGTAACATTCTGCATTACTGTGGCCCCCAACAACCCCTGCCCCCTTCACCGAATTGTGTGGAGGTGACAGACTATTTTCACAAAATCTGAGATTCAAAGTATCATTACTTAGACAAAAAAAGGATACTGTTTCATGACTTCTTTGTACTTCACAGTGTCTCTGATATCTAGAGGAGGAAGACATATAAACAGTTTTAGGACATCCCTTTTAAAATATCCTGCTTCAATTTGCTGATAGGTGAAAACCCTTCTTTTTCTAGCTAGTCCCATTTTGTCTCAAATCTAGCATTGACACAAAAAAATCTCTCAAGTAGATTAAACAAAATCTAGTATTAGCTACATTCTCAACATACATATGAAACCCTATGTGAAACGCCACCAACTGAGGGATTTAATAGTAACTGCTTCAGTTAATTTTTGTCAGCTGGCTAACACAGCACATGTACCTAGCTGTACTATTAGAGACCCAGCACTGGAACAGACACCCTGATTATTCATCTGACTTCAATAAAATAACTTTGGTACCCACGCTGCCTTTCTTACCCTCTGAAGAGGCAGGCTGGCAAACTTCTTAAAGTTTAAGAGATGAGACCCATATGACTGCTGAGCCCTTTGGAACGACTAAACATAACGTCTTGTCTTATTGTTAAGGTATTTTCTCTAAAATTAACGTCTTTTAAAGTGCTTTAAAGAAGTTGTTCGGTAGCATACGTGACTACTACCACTGTTCTGGATGTAGGAAACCTGGTTGAATCTACTAATGCGTTCATCGCTGACAAAGAAAACAAACCCACGAGAACCCATCAAATCACACCAGATGATGCAAAAAATGTACGAATACAATGGAAGCATGCCTTCGGTCCTAAAGATTCAGCTGTTAAGGACTAGTAGAAGAAAGGAGTCAAACTTAATTTAAAAAAAAAGAAAAAAATAATTCTTGTGTTTGGACTTGGAATCTCTGGAGGAGGATACAAGCAGCCTAGCCGAATACCTGCCGTAACCCCCCCTCGCTCCGCGAGGCGTACGAAAAGCGGTACACCACAGCCGCCTTCACTTATTTACGGCAAAACACAGTCGCTTTCGGGCGGCGGAGCCCCCAGCGCGCCGCCCGCCGGCCCGGGCCCGGCGGCACTCAC